CTTTCCCAAAGCTGTCTTCTTATATACTGGAGGCAGACCATATCCCGAAGGTAGCTGCTCACAGTAGCTTCCACCATGGAGTTGATTACCAGTCTCATCATGGGACCTAACTTTCTGCCGGTATCTCAGTGCAGGGGCCATGAGCCTTGAGGGGCCAAGAACACACTCCACTCTTGTTTCTATATTTTAGGTATCTGTCAGATCAGCACCCCACTTTCTTGGAACCAAATTCTGTTTTGGTTCTCTAGTGCTGCTCTGACAGAAAGTACCACAAGTGGATGGCTTTAACAAATTGCTTTAAAAGCAGTTTAGGAGGCTAGAAGTCTGAGTTCAAAGTGCCAGCTTTAGGGGCTGGGTGAAAGCCCCTTGACCTTGAGCTTCAGCTCTGTCTGTGGCTCCCATCTCACTGAAACTGGAGGCTTCTCTTAACTCAGGCAGCCGCTGACTGCTGAGGCTGACAAACCCAAGGCCAATAAATAAAATGGCACAGTCCCGAGATTACCAGACAACACGGCAGGCCACTAGTTCAAGTCCCGAGATTGGCAGGAAACATGGCAGGCTGCTGAACGAAGACTCGGCTCCATGCAGGGTCCAAGCATGCCAAACAGCTCAGAGATCTTTCTCAAAGCTGTCTTCTTATATACTGGAGGCAGACCATATCCCGAAGGCAGCTGCTCACAGTAGCTTCCACCATGGCGTTGATTACCAGTCTCGTCATGGGGCATAACTACATCCAGCTGCCCAGCCACTCAAAACCAGGCCCAGCCAAGTTGACACACAACTAACTATCGTTGTATTCTTTTGTAATTAAGAATATATTTGCACTCATATCTTTTTGGGTTTCTTACGTTGTTTTTGTATCTTCTCTTTTTTCTTGATGATGGCGTAATACTAATAGCAAACTGTTCATTGACTTTTAATTTCATAAACTATATCCCAAGACTTGTTCTGACACTTTACATGCAATGGATTATTTAATCATCACATCAGTTTTATGAGTTAGGCTATTGTTTTCTCCACTTTATAGCTGAGGGGAGTGAAGCACAGAGAGGTTAAATACCTTGCTCAGAGTCAAAGCCTAGACATCAGGTGGGTCATATGAAGCCAGACAGAAGGATTCCAGAGGCTGTGTCTTCAGCACTGTGCTGGAGTATTTCCGTTTGCTCTATAATATACTGTTTTTCTAGAAGTTTGCCCATGTTATTAGATTTTTGGATTAAAAAGAAAAACAAACCACTAACCCATTGCCATCGAGTCAGTTTTGACTCAGTGACCCCATAGGACAAAGTAGAACTGCCCTGTAGGGTTTTCAAGGGCGTAATCTTTACGGAAGCAGATCACCAGGTCTTTCTCCTGCTGTTGGTTTCAAACCACTGACCTTCCAGCTATCTGTGAATGGAGCATTGAAAGTGCCACTTATGGCGCCCTAGTGACACAGTGGTTAGAGCACTCAACTGCTAACCAAAAGATCGTTGGTTTGAACCCACCTGCCACTCTATGGAAGAAATATGAGGCAGTCTGCTTCTGCAAAGATTTATAGCATTGGAAATCCTTTAGGGTAGTGCTACTCTGTCCTATAGAATAGCTGTGAGTTAGAATTGACTGACGGCAGTGACCAATGGAAGCAGCAGTCAGGACATTAGACGATAGGCAACAAATAAAATGGCACAGTCCCAGGATTACCAAACAACATGGTAGGCCACAGTATAGCACTGCACACGTTGGCTGCAAAGGAATTCTTTCAAGTGCTGAGGAGCAAGGATATCTCCTTGAGGACTAAGGTGCACCTGACACAAGCCATGATATTTTCAATCGTCTCTTATGCGTGTAAGAGCTGGACAATGAATAAGGAAGACCAAAGAAGAACTGATGCTTTTGAGTTGTTGTGCTGGCGAAGAATGCTGAAAGTACCATGGACTGCTAAAAGAACTAACAGATCTGTCCTGGAGGAAGTGCAGCCAGAATGTTCCTTAGAAGCCAGAATGGTCAGACTTCCTCTCACCTACTTTGGTCATGTTGTCAGAAGGGACCATTCTCTGGAGAAAGATGTCATGCTTGATAAGGTGGAGGGTTGAAGAAAGAGGGGAAGGCCCTCAACGAGATGGATTGACACAGTGGCTGCAATGATGGGCCCAAGTACAGCAGGGATTGGGGAGCTGGCACGGGACCGGGTGGTGTTTAGTTTTGTTGTGCTTAGGGTCGCTATGAGTCGGACATGACTCGATGGCACCTAACAACAACAACAACAAACAACAACAACAGTGGGTTTTGGGATTTTGTCTCTGCTTATGCTCAGTGAGTGAATAAACCAAAAACCAAACCCATTGCCATCGAGTCGATTCTGACTCACAGCGACCGCCTTTGGGTTTCCAAGGTGGTAAATCTTTATAAAGTAGATTGCTCTGTATTCCTTCCACGAAGTGGCTGGTGTGTTTGAACTGCAAGCCTTCTGGTTAGCAGTCAAATTCTCCCTTTCCTTGACAACTTCACTCTCACATCAAAAGTTGCCTAAATCTGTAGAAGCGGTACCTGCTAGCCCCACTCCCTCAGGGTTGCTGAGGTTGAGGAAGGAGGCAGGTGCAGGCTTGGAAATTCTTCCCTCTGTTCTCAGTCTGTGTCCCTTTGTTTTTGTAAACCAGCGGTGGCTTAGGCCCAGGTGCTCATTCTGTGCCGGGCTCCTGGTGCCTGTGCCTTTGCTGGCTGGCTCAGTGAGCTTGGTGTGCAGCCATGGCCACTGGTCCCTCTGCTTCTTGAGGGAGGGAGTGAAGCTCTGTCACCACATTCCTGAAAGGTCCCTGAGCCTCCATGAGGCCTGCGTTCTCTCTTCTCAAGCAGGCGAGCAGTTGTTCACTAATATGGAAATAATTTACCAGCTTAAGTAATGACATCAAGCCACAGAGCCAGCCAAAGAGTTTCTCATCCCTGGCTTAATTAGCCTCATTCTTAAAAATGTGTTATGGCTGCTTTATTTATTGGTACATTACTTGCAAGGCTATGTTAAAGAACAAGGAGTCAGGCCAAACAGTACCAGTTACTGGTTTGCTGAGTCTTCTGAAAAACACTAAAAACCCAGTTCTCAAATTTTGCCACCATCAGAAAAATTATTTTTCAGTGAAACTTTTTTGTTATAAATGTGATACAGGCCATTTTAGAAAATTACAAAACACAGAATAGGGAAAAACTGTTTACACAACAAATGCTGGCACTTCATATTCGTTTCAGACTTTTCCCTCCATGTGTTTTTTAAATAAAGTTTTGATTACAACAGATAACCAAGAGGCAGTTGTTCAAACAGAACAAGGGGATACTGCATGCTTTAAAATCAGGAAAGGTGTGTGTCAGGCTTGTAACTTTTCACCATATTTATTCAATCCGTATGCTGAGCAGATAATCCGAGAAGCTGGACTATATGAAGAAGAACACAGCATCAGGATTGGAGGAAGAGTCATTAACAGCCTGAGATATGTAGATGACACAATCTTGCTTAATGAAAGTGAAGATGACTTGAAGCACTTACTGATGAAGAACAAAGACTATATAGTCTTCAGTATGGATTACACCTCAACATAAAGAAAACAGAAATCCTCACAACTGGACCAATAAGCAACATCATGATAAAGGGCGAATGAATTGAAGTTTTCAGGGATTTCATTTTACTTGAATCCACAGTTAACACCTGTGGAAGCAGCAGTCAATAAAACAGACATTGTATTGCATTGGGCAAATCTGCTGCAAAAACCTCTTTAAAATGTTAAAAAGCAAAGATATTACCTTGAGGACCAAGATGCACCTGACCCAAGCTGTGGTATTTTCATTCGCCTTGTATACATGTGAAATCTGGACAGTGAATAAGGAAGACTGAAGAAGAATTGATACATCTGAGTTAAGGTGTTGGGGAAGAGTATTGAATAAAACGTAGACTGCCAGAAGAAGGAACAAATGTCTTGGGAGAAGTACAGCCAGTATGCTTCTTAGAAACAAGACTTCATCTTAGGTACTTTGAACATGTTAGCAGGAGGGACCGGGCCTTGGAGAAGGATATCATGCTTGGTAAAGTAGAGGGGGAGGCAGTGTTACGTTCTGTTGTCCACAGGGTTTCTAAGAGTAGGAACTGACTTGATGACACCTAATAGCAACATTAGGATTTTATTCTCCACTGCTGTTCTGATGCAGAGGGGAAATGAGTGGGGAGGGCCTTGTAAAATGGTAGATTTGTCTTCCCTTTATAATATGAGTGAGAAGATGCGGAGGTGAAGAGGGACAGGTGAAGAGGGATGGTGCAAACCGCAAACTGTGATGTTCTTTCTGTTGTTAATGACCCAGGACTTGTTGGCGCTTTGTGGAGAGCACTGTGTCAACACATACAAGTACACCAAGTGGTTAATTCATGGATTAAATTGGCAAGAACTTGCTTTTCTTTCTTAAAGACTAACTAAGAATCTGCTACCCACCAGCCACTCCTCGGAAGGAAGGTTGGGCAATCTACTTCCATAGTGATACTGCCTCGGAAACCCAAGGAGGGGTTGCTATGAGTCGGATCCGACTCCATGGCAGTGGTTGTGTTTGCGTTGTATACCCTAAAGAGTCATTCTTGAATTTTTCTGTTTTCAGCTCAAAATTATCTCACTTACTAGATTTTTGTTCATTCAATAGTGAATTGGTTTATTTTAAAAATTACAAGAATATTGGCTAAAGCTGTCAAGTCTGAAGATTTCCAGCTATGGACACGACCTTGTGGGAATTAATGGAAAATGCAAATTGATTTAGCAAATGTGAAAAATTGAAAACATGAGATTAAATGTCTTAACCTCTTCATATAATTCTAAATGTTCCAGCAATCTGCTGATGCATAGCCTTTTCAAATCATATTTTAAATTTTGCAGATAATCTTTTTATCAAGGAAAAGCTTTCTTGGCTCATCAGTTTAATAAACAATTCCAGAAAGGCTGGTGCTTATCCAAACTGTATGTTCTACTTTGTCGCCATTTCTTCTCACACAGAAATACGGTCTATACTACCGGGATTGTCTGCAAAGCTGAGGTGGACTTCAGAGGAAGCCAGCTGTTCCCCGGACGCATCAAAGGTCTCACCCTTCCGGGTGATTTTTGAGGCAGGTTTTTTTTTTTTTAATTGTGATTTGGGTGCAAATTTACAAAGCAAATTCGTTTTACATGGAGCAGTTCGTGTACATCTGGTTTCCTAGCCCGATTACAATCCCCACATAAACAGCTGTCCTCGCATCTCCTCCCTGTGAGTACCCCTTCCCTGTGTCCTTCTTACCTATGCATCCTGTCTGCCTAGCTTTTCCCCTGTGCAGATGCTGCCCTTCTGATCTCTCAAGATTGACTGTTCTGATGGGTGCATCTCCCTGGGAGCAGATGTTCAACTCCCAGGCCTTTCTGTTGTTTGGCTGAGAGCTGACCCATGAGAGTGAGTCCAATTCCAGGCCCGAAGGGTAACCTAGCTTGAGGCAAGTTTTGTTGTGGTCTGTAAATTACTGATGATTTGATTATTTTTCTACAAATTTAATAGCAGGAAAGGAAAGGCTTAGATCAAGTTGAAAGGAAATAAGACATTGGTTCCCAAACCTCCCTGTGCACATTGAATCACCTGGGCATTTTCAAAATATTGATGTCCTCCTCTAGGACCCGAAAAACAAAACTGTAGTTGAGTTGATTCCAACTCTTAGTGACCCTATGGGACAGAGTAGAACTGCCCCATTGGAGTTCCAAGGGTATCATCTTTATGGAAGCAAACTTTCTCCCACAGAGTAGCTGGTGGGTTCAAACCTTCAACCTTTTGGTTAGCAATGAACACTTAACCACTGTGCCACTAGGGCTCCTTGTCCTACTCTAAGACATTGTAATTTAATTGGTCTGGGCAGTGGCTTGGGCTTTATAGCTTTTAATAAATTTCAGAGGATTGTAATGTGCAGATGGGTTTGGGAATCCCTGAAATAAGCCCTTATTTGAATTGACGCTCCTGAAAAATAAAAGTCAATTTTCAGTGCAGATCCTGTTTGGACCATTTTTATTCAGTTGATTTATTTGTAGCCCAGAGTTATGAGAGTGACATGAAGGTTCTCCATCCCCTTAACAATTCTCTGATGCCTCTCTTTCCCTCCTTTGAGTTGGTGGAGACATAAAGCATTAGAGTACTTAAAACATCCTCCCAGGAGGCCGCTGGGAGACCTTTCTCCATGTCCAGCCGAGCAATGCTTTGCTCCTTCTGAAAGGAACAGGTACAGCATGGGGACAGCAGGTATTCCAGGCTGTGCCTTATCTTCTTTAGGGGAACGATGGGTAAACAATCTGGAATAACCCATGGCCAGTCAGCTCTGAAACTGTTAATGTCAAGTGGCAATAAAAAGGTGGTTCCAGTGAACCAAGGCAGGCAGTTTGAGGAAAACAGATCCTGTGTTTCAGCCAGTCTGAACTAGTAATGATAATTGTCGTACCTAACATTCACATACATTATTCAAGCCTCCTGATGACCCCATGAAGTGGATGGGGCAGGGATTATTACTCCATTTTACAGCTGAGGAAATTGAGATTCAGAGAATTTGACTTTCTCAAGGTCATTTGAAAGTAAGTGGTAGAATTAGAACTAGAAATTGTGTCTCTCAGTGCTATTTCAAAATTTGTTCACACATTAGTTCAGAAACCTGTGCTTGTTCTAGCAATGGCTGTGTGCTAGGTATTGGAGGCACAGAGGCCTAAGGCATGTTGTCTGATCCGAAGGAACTTGGAATCTAAAGAGAAAGACAAATAAACAGATACTTACGCTACAGTGTTGTAGATGCCGTGATAAGGTAAGCACTGAATGCTGTGGTAGCATAGTGGAAGGGCACCTAACCCAGTCAGAAGTAGTCAAGGTTTAGAGGTCTTAATGAGGCAGAAAAACAGATTGAGTGGGCCCAAGGGAGTCAGAGACCTGAAAGAATAGGAAGTTGTTATCAGAGTGTGAAGTTCTGCTTAATATTTTTTTTCTTATTGCAAAGACAGTAGCACATTCAAAGTATGACCACGTGAACACTGAGAGCACACATAGGTCGACCTATCAGGGTAGCCACTGTTAACACCTGGGGGTACATCTTTTCATTAGAGTGGGACATTTCCGTTTAAGGTTTCCAGAATGGAACAGTTCCAAGCTATGGCTGTGGAAATAGGTGGCTGGAATGCAGTGGAGGTCAAGGTCACTGGAGTTAAAGAAGTAAAGGAACCATGAAACTTAAATTGTTTCTTGGACTGGTCATCTGCTTGGGAGTAGAGAGCAGAACAGAGGAGCTGAGTGACCAGGAGTCAATTGGTGATGGAGATAAGGGCAGATAAAAGAGTAGTACAGTCAGATGACATGAGTCTCAAAGGAACATAGGTGTTCTCAAAGTGTTTACACCAGGTCTTTAACTGTTTTGAACCAGCTAAGTCATAGCCAATGAAGCAAAACTGGAATAAACCCACATATTTAAAATCTGGATAATCCAGAATGCTAACTGAAATAGGAGAAATTCCAGGTCGAAGCCCTGATATGAGAGCCTTGGAAGAGGCATAGTGAGCCCCTTCAGAAGCAGGATATTAAATTAGTACCAGGACTGTGGAGCGTGCAAAGCTGCACGGTCTGTAGCCGTGTTTGAGCCGGGCATCACTGTTTTTAACTCAGTTAGTCAAGAGAGTTGATTGCTAATGCGGTGTGAATGCTCCTTGTTTTCTAAGAGGGAGATTAAGTTTCGAAAGCAGGGCTCTGACCTGTAATTTTTCCCATTTCAGTTAGCATTCCAGTTCACTCACATTTAAAAAATTCGGGTCTGTTTCGGAGTTGCTTTGCTGGCGGTGGCTGCACGGGGCTGAGCTGGTTGCTCTGGTTTGCGCGCTGTTGCTCATTGTCTCTGGTACTGTGTTGCTATATAGCAGATAATTGAACGAAGAGAATGAGAACAGAAAAGGGGAGACTGTGTCACCATGTGTGGCTCAGTTGGGAAGAAGGGTCAGATAGCAGGGTGCATGGGAAAGTCTAGGGAATGAAGATGGCTGTGAAGAAGCTGTGGTAAGTCACCCACTAATTTGGGCGTGTGAGAACTAATCCTGGGAAGATCAAAGAGAGCCTCATTCAGGAGGGAGGCTGGGTGCTGTGTTAATGTTCACAGGGAGGACTGCATCCTGGGAGCCATTAGACTGGCTGGCATGTCTCCCCCAAGCAACCTGACTTTGCGAGATGTTCTTGACCATTTCATCTATTTTATATTTATTTACAATAATGCTGAATGGGAACGTGGATCAGAGATACGCATGTGTATGTTCTTGTTGCTGGGTGTTGTCAAGTCAGTTCCAACTCACAGCAGTCCCATGTGACAGGGCAGAACTGCCCCATAGAATTTTCTAGGTGGTAATCTTCACAGAAGCATATGCCCAGGCCTCTCTCCCACAGAGCTGCTGGGTGGGTTTGAACTGCCAACCTTGCACTGCTAACAGAACGGTCGTTACTTCAGAAGAAGGGCCTGGTGATGCTTGGGGAAGGTCACACCTGGGAAACCCAGCGGGGCAGAGCTCCCGTCTGCACACAGGCCCATGGGGCAGAACCGACGCAGCAGGAGCTGGGTGCTTTCGTTTATTTATTTATTTAAAGATAGGGAGATGGATAGATACTTTCCTTTTCAAAGTGATACAGAGCCCATGACTACACAGGTTTATGTTTGTTGATATAAAAGTTCCTATATCCCACTGAATCATTAGACTTGGAGTCCAAGGTGAAGGCTGAAACCATGTGATTCAGTAGCTAGCAGCATCTAGTTTTCATAACAGCACTCATGAAGATTCACTGTTTTGCTGGGCATGGCCAGCTGGGTTCCTGGGTCTTTGGTGGGCGTGGCAGGCCAGGTTACAGAGTTTCTGACACTCAGCTGTGTAAGGCTTCATAGCATATGCTTCATTGTTTATTACAGCTCTATGAGTAGATCTTGAAAGGAGCTCCTAGCTCTGTCACTGTCCTCTGCAGGCCTTACGTGAGGTCACTTCATCCCCTCGGTCTGGGAGAGGTGCCTGTCCTTCTCGTGTGACCCCTCAGCACCTCCTCTGCTAGGGCATGAAGCTTTTCATGTTGTCATGTAGATGATAGATCTGCCTTTCTCTTCTACTGAACTGTGAACTCCTCGAATTGAGGTTATCTTACTCATCTGGGTAGGCAGGCCTAGGTACATAAGGAGCCACAGTGAGTGTTTTTTCAGTGAATAAGTCCATATCTTCAGTAACAGGCACAAGCATTGCCTGTCAGATTCCATAAAAAAAAATTAAAATAAAATAAAAAGATGGGTTCAAAGAGCCCTGTGTCCGGGAAATGCTGACAGTTCTTGGAGAAGCAGCATTGCATGGTGGAATGTGGGTTTGCAGTTAGTCAGATCTCGGTTTGAATCCTGGTTCTAGCTGTGTGACCTTGGATAAATGAATCAGCTTGTTTGACTCTCAGCATCCACATCTAGAAAATGGGAGTATTTCCTGCCAGATGGGTGTGAGCTTTAGATAAATGATGTGCATAAACTGCTTGCGTGGAGCAGGTGTTCCGAAAATCACTGCTAATTGCAGCCCCTCTCTAGCTGCTCAAGAGTTTCCACTCACTCGTTGCCTCACTGTTAAGATATAATTAGCCTGTTCTGAAACACACCCTGTAATCACCAAGGTTACGGACGTTTGAAACTGTTCCAAGAAGTTGTTTGGGAAGCATTGAGTACAGAAAATTCCGTAAGAGGCCGTCGTCTTTCTACCATTGAATGTTTCACACTAAAAATTCTTTTAAAAATAATACCTTGTGTTTTAGTTGAAAGTGTACACAACAGATTAGATTCCCCTTTAACAATTTTTATGCAGATTGCCCCATGTCATTGTTACAGTTTTTGCACAGAGTTCGCATTATCATTGTAGCCATTCTGTTCTGGTTCCATTGATCCAGCTCTGCCTTCTCACCTTTGCTTTTGGGTAAATGTTGACCATTGGTCTCATATGGTTTGTTTAAGGGATCGCACTGCTCACGGGAGGCACTGTTCCTTTTATAAACTAACATATTATTTGCCTGACAGGTGACCTGCAGAAATAGCTTTAGTTCCATGTTCAAAGGTTATCTTAGGGCAGTAGTCTCAGGGGTTCCTCTAGTCTCTGTTGGTCCAGTAAGTCTGGCCTTTTTTTTTTTTTTTTTTTAGGAATTTGAGTTTTGGTTCACATTTTCCTTCCATTCTAAAAGGATTCTTCTTTTTTTTTTCTGTCCCTGGTCAGAACGGTTGGTAGTGGTAGCCAGGCACCATCCAGTTCTTCTGTTTCAGGTTAGAAGAGGTCAAGGTTCATGTGGGCTATTCGTCCCATCAACTGGTTTCTTCTTTAAGCCTTTGATTTCCTTCCTTCTCTTTTGCTCCATATGACTAGAGATCGATAATTGTATCTTAGATGCTGCTTAAATGCTAACCAGAAGGCTGGCGGTTCAAACCCACCAGCCACTCCTTGGAAGGAAGATTGGGCAGTATACTTCCGTATTGATACCGCCTCAGGAACCAAAGGAAGGGTCGCTATGAGTCGGATCTGACTCGACAGCAGTGAGGTTTTTTTTTTTTTTTTTTTAAATTAAATGGGAGGAGGAAATATGGGAATGTGGTTAAGCCTCAGGCTTTGGAGCCAGCTCTCCTGGTAACCCTGGGCAAGTTGTTGACCCTCTCTGAGACTCATTCTTTTCATCTCTAAAATGGGGGCCTATGCATTTGTATTTGTGGGGAAGTATCATAGAACATTGGGAAGAATATCAGCAATTGGCACCATATAGACTTAGAGTCAAATTCTAGCTCTACCTCTAAGCAGCTGAGTGTCCTTAGGCAAATTGCTTAGCTACTCTGAGCCTCATTTCTCTTTCTCCACAAAGAGAGTTTAGTAGTGGCTACCTCCCAGGATGATCATGAGGTTCTGGGTACAGGTGCACAAATATAGTAGCATTCAGCAAGTGACATCTGTTGTCATCATGGAGAAGACATACTTTCATATTATTATTTGATCCTTAAAACAAGACTGTGAGGCACATAACAACAACATGAGGTAGTAAGGACAGGTTTACCCCTGTTTCTCAGATCAGGAGATGAGGACCAGGGCAGCTAAGTGATTTTTTTAATGGCTATTTAACTGATTTTTACCCAGTCATTACTAGACACAGGTCCTCTGACTTTAGAGACTTTCACTGTACAGCTTTTCCTTATAAGTAGATGTGAATGACTGGATTGATGTTGAAAAATAAGGTTCCTTTTAGTGTCTGCTGCTCTGACTCCACTGCTTCTTCCTTCAGGCTGTCCCAGAATGCATTGGGAGTATGGAGTCAAGATAGAGACACTGGTCTCAACTCCAGCACGAATGACTTTAAATCTGTTCCAAAAGATGGTTCCAACAGTGTTGGTTTCTCTGATCTTCGTTCAGGTGTCTCCATGAATATGTACTCTAACCCCAGAAGTGATGGCTGTTTAGATTCCCTTTTGTTCCTGTACCCAAAGACGCTTCCTCCCCGTGGATATCCAGAACGCTTTGTGAGATGCAGTTGCTTTTATAGGAAGCAGTGCTGTCGTTTGATTCATTCGTGCTCTTGGGTGTGTGGTGGATGCTTTTGTGGTGTTGTTCCAGGTTGATGAAGGGCCCAGCATGCTGATGACAGACTGTCTGGCTATAAAGGATTTTTTACGCAGAATCATCGTGGTGCACCCTAAGGTGAGCTCTTCTCTCGCACAGTAGTGCTGTTTTTACGTAAGTCATGTGTTTTCAAGGGACGTCTGTTCTGGAGGACTGGGAAGGTTTGGGTTAGTTTTCTTTCTTTTAGTGGTGATGATTAAAACTTTTAAGATTGAACTGATTGGGTTTCTATGTCCTTAAGACATAGACTTAATGTTGGTGATGTGACATAGTTGAAAGGCCCCTGGAAGGAGAGAGGACTTTGTTTTGGGTTCTAATTTTCACTCTCTTATAACCTTATTGTCTCACCTTGGGTAGTAGACTTTGGGGGTGGCCTCTTTCTTTTCTACATGGACTGTGAGAGCAGGAGGGGAGTTTTGACACGGTCCTCTGAACTGTGGGGTGCTGTCACTTACACTCAGGCAGTCTGCCTGTAGAACCCTTCGTTAGCTATCATGCAATACAGAAAGAAAAGTGCAGGTTGAATATGGGAAATAATATAGAGTGATGGCATAAATCGGAGGAAGGATGCGAAAATCAGACAGGGCCAGGGGAGGAGAAGGCAAAGGGAGAAACGGAACATCCCACGTATGGAAATAACAGAAGAGTTGATTGCTGTTGCCGCCTTCACGTTGATTTCAGCTCAGGGAGCCTGAGTGTGCAGAGCAGAGCCGCTCCACGTTCTCAGGGCCATGACCTCCCAGAGGCAGGCCTTCTGAGGAACCTCGGGTGGGTCTGAGGCTCCAACCTTTCACTTAAACACCTGTGCCACCCAGGGATGCCTCAGAAAAAGTCCCTTTGAAAAATAGGAGGAGGAATTGGTTGGGAGATAGCAGAGGACAGAGGGTGGGATATGCTGACGATCTGTGAGTGTTTTGGATTGTGGGAGAGGACTCAACATACGTAAGGTCCGGAATCTGAACACAGGGTATGTGTTGATGATGATTTGGAAAAGTGCAAGGTAATCCTCCTGAAGGCTTCGTAAAACCAAATGATGGGTTAGCTTAACTCGTCACATCTTCTGCCTTGAGCGTTGATCTCTTTCAGGACAGTGCCTAAGGCACTTGACTGCTAACCAGAAGGCTGGAGGTTCAAGCCCACCAGCCACTCCTTGGAAGGAAGGTTGGGCAATCTACTTCTGTAGAGATACCGCCTCGGCAACCCAAGGAGGGGTCGCTATGAGTTGGGGCCGACTCCATGGCACATAACAACAACAACATGTGAGATCAAATTGACAGCAATTTAGATAGATAGGTGTTTAGATCAGACAGGAACCTTCAAGGACAGTGAATTTATGTTAATGGAAGAAGAACAACTCGAAAAAAGAGGGTGAGAATGGTTGCCCAACTGGAAGAACATCACAGGGTCACTGAATCATGCATGTGGGAGCTGGAATTCTGTATGATTTCTTCTGTGTATTTTCAACCACCACCACCAACAAACAAGTATTTTTTTTTTCAAAAAGATGATGAAGAATATCTTTTCTGTTAGGAACTGAGTGTGGACGTTTTAAATCTGTTTTGGTTCATGTTATCTCTCACACCCCACCCACTGTTTTGTAGATCGGGTTTAATTTCAGTGTGAAGGTGAATGGAGCCCTCTCCATGGAGATCTTTGGGTAAGTCCTGGATTGAGATGATTCCATAGCTCTGTAGTTTTTCTCAGCCGTTTTTGGCCAACTGCCAGTAGGCTCATTGATTGCTTGACCCAAAGGCACCTTGAAACTGATTTTCTGAGATCCCGCACTTTCTTATTCTGTATTAGCTTTCAACAAATAAGTGGGTTCACCTAACCCTTTCTTGTTCTTCCCGTTCGTTCGCTAGAGTGGGTGGACTTAAGCATTGTCTCTGGGTGAATACGTTACTGAGTCCCGCGAGGTTCTGGGCGGGAGGGGGGCAGTGGCTCAGGGGCAGAGGCGGATTTCAGAACCTTTAACATCTGGCCTCACTTTGCTTTGCTTTGCAGCACAGAGAATGAACCCATTTTTCACCTACTAAATGGAAGTGCTCTTGCCGTGAACCATCAGCATTACGTGAGGTAAAGGGGGAGGCATCGCCAGCCCTCTCCGCTTTTGCTCCCTCTTATGAGTAGGAATTTGGGTAGAAATTGGAAATGGTCTCACTTGTCATTTCTTAGGTCCAGGTGTCAGCTTCTCTAAGAACAGTGAAAGTAAAATTTTAATGTTATTTGTGTTGAAAACGCTTGTTATTCCTGGCTCCTTGACTGTATTCTCCTTGGACCTGAGGATGTGTTCCTTCTTCTGTCTGAGCCTTCTTTTCTTCTGTGAATGAAACAAAACAAATCCTGCCAATTCCCATCCCACTTAGACCTGAGAAAAGAGTACTGTGGAAGTCCGTGAACTCTTGGCTAGAGAGACACTACGCGTACAAAGGAGTCCTTTGTATGTGAGTTGTTATGTATCAGCACTTTGCATAGGTTTAGAAATCATCTATATCCCCACCTTTACCTTCTTCAGACTCTTAGAAAATTAATCCAAAGAAGAGATGATGAGTAATCTGGGACAGACAAAACCCTTCTTCCTTGCCTTCCTGTGCTGTCCAGTTACCGTAGAATTCAAATAGCTCGAGGTATAGCAAGAAAAGACCAAGCTTATGCTTTTTGTTGTTTTTATGTGCTCTGGAGTCAGCCCCGACTCATAGCAACCCTCCTTGGGTTTCCGAGGCGGTAACACTACAGAAGTAGATTGCCCAACCTTCCTTCTGAGGAGTGGCTGGTGGGTTTGAACCAACGGCCTTCTGGTTAGCAGTCAAGTGCCTTAGGCACTATGCTACCAGAGCTCCCAAGCTTATGCTTAAGACCAACTAATTTACTTATTCAGTCATTTCTGCCTCCATTTTTATGTCCAGAGTCAACACCAATAGTCATCATAAGATCTTAAGGCTTGAAGAGATTGCCCAGACGTTGGTCTGTTTTGCTCTTGCCCCAAATTGCACTGCAGATTAAAATATTTTTGGTTCTGTACACAGATAAGATGATCCCACCTATACCTCTCTTCAGTATCACACAGTATTTATAGGTGGGCAGCTCAGTACGCAGTGGTGTGCAGCCATCACCACCATCTAATGCCAGAGGAGACACGTCATCCATTCCCTCCTCCCCCCGCCCTGGCAACCACTGATCTGCTTTGTGTCTCTGTGTATTCACCTGTTGATAGTTCGCACGAATGGAATCGTGCACATGTGACCTTCTGTGCTGGCTTCTGTCCTTTAATGTAACGTCTTCTGGGTTCATCCATGCTGTGGTGTGCACCAAAACCTCGTTCCTTTTTATGGTTCATGAATGATTATGATAATATTCCATTGTTTAGACAGAACACATTTGGTTTCTCCCGTTCACCTGTGGGTGGGTAGTTGGATCGTTTCCACCTTGTGGCTGTTGTGAATTGTGCTGCTGTAAACATTTGTGTGTGGCATCTGTTTGATGACCCGTTGCCAGTTCCTCTGGGTGTACACCTAACAGGGGAATTGCTGGTCGTATGTTATTTCTTTATTTAGCTATTTAAGTAAGTTTAACTTACTTAACACCAAACATTTTTCACAGTGGCTGTGCCATTTTACATTCGTATTAGATTTCCCCACATTTTTATCAACACTTATTATGGCAGCGAAATCTGTGAGAGCTGGAACTCAACAGGGCTGGCTGGCTTGTTTTCTGGGCCTCAACATTCTGCCTTTGACAGGGGGCAGTCTTACCATTTTTCTGTCAGTCTCTGTTAGTGGAAAATCATTGCCCTTTCCTTCTCCGACAGGTTTCCGCCTTACACAGGCCCCAGGTTTCACAGGTTTTACTGTCTTATTTCTATTATAGCCATCCTAGTGGGTGTGAAGCGGTATCTCATTGTAGTCTGGATTTGCATTTCCCCAGTGACTAATGATGTTTAGCATCTTTTCATGTGTTTATTGGCCTTTGTGTCTCTTCTTTGGAGAGTGTCTGTTCAACAGCTTTGCCCATTTTTTAATCGATTTGTTTGCCGTTGTTGTTGATTTGTAACAGTTCTTTTATCTATTCTGGATACTAGACTCTACTTATCAGATGTTCTATTTGCATTAAGTAATTTTTTTTTTTTAATTGTGGTTTCAGTGAAAGTTTACAGAGCAGATTGGTTTTCTGTCTGACAGTTCATGCACAGTTTGCTTTGTGACAGTGCAGTCCCACAATGTAACAGCTCTCTTCCTGCTTCCTTCCAGTGTTTACCATTTCCCTTTGTCCTTCTTGCCTGTCCCTTCGTGCTTTCTTGGCTTCCTCCTTGGGCAGATGCTGCTCTTTTGATCTCTGTGATTGATTGTTCTAATGAGTGCATACCTTCCTGGTATTATTGTTCACCTTAGAGACCTATTGTTTGGCTGAGAGTTGAGCCAGAGGAGTAGAGTTTAGGTCCAACCTTGAAGGGTGTCTAAGGGCTATAGTCTTGAGAGTTCCACTAATCCCTTACCAGACCAGTAAGTTGGGTCTTTTTTGTTTTTGTTTTTTAATTGTGCTTTGGGTGAAAGTTTACAGAGCAAGTTGGTTTTCCATTCAATAATCCATATACATTCTGTTTTGTGACATTTACTACAATCCCCACACTGTAACGGCATCCTTCCCCCTTCCTCCCTGTGCCCACCCCTTCCCTTCATCCTTTTTCCCATCCCCTCCTGCCTTCCTAGCTCCATCCCTGAGCAAATGCTGTCCTCTTGATCTCATATGCTTGATTGTTCTAATGAGTTCATACTCTCCTGTTCACCTTTATAGGTCTATCATTTGGCTGACAGTTGAGTCATAGGGGTTAAGTTCAGTTCCTAGCTTGAAGGGTGTCTAATAGCCATAGTCTTCATCAGACCAGTAAGCCTGATCATTTCTAGGAGTTTTGTTCCACACATTTCCCCACTCTGTCCAGGACCTGTTATTGTGATTCCTTTCACACAGTGGGAGCTGGGCACCATCTAGTTCTTCTGGTCTCAGGGTCATGGAGGCTGAGCTTAATATGCTCCATTATTCCTTTGGAATAATAATTTCTTTGCATCTTTGATTTTCTTCACTCTTCTTTCCTCCGGACAGGGAGTGACCAATAGTTGTACTTTAGATGGCCACTCCAAAGCTTTTCAGACCCCAGTTGCTACTCACCAAAGTAGAACGTAGAACATTGTGTTTGTGGACTATGTTATGCCAAATGACCTTAGCGTCCCCTGAGGTGGTGGTCATGAGCCTCCACACTCCCTGACTCGTTCCCTTAAAGAGTTTGGTTATAAATAAGATGTTTTCATAACTTTGTCCCCTGCATGCTCTACCACATTCGTGGGTGTATTTGCAGCCCATAGAAATACATAGGTAGAGAGAGCCGCTGTCAAGCCCATATACAGTCACAGGAATAGTCTCATTTGCTTTCCCACCCCAGTTCAGATTGAGTGTCTATCTATGTGGTGGCCACTCATAAATATTGTTACTACTATTATTGCAGGATTGTACACGCAGTGCTATTCACCTTTGTCACCTTTAACTTTTGTGCCCCTCCCTGTGTCTTCCTCTCCCTGGATAATTTTGTGCTAACCCTCCCCCCTTTATTGTATATTGCCTTTCCCTTCACCCAAGTTAATGTGTGTCTGCCATCTAGTTGGTAATTGCCTCCCTTCCCCTCCCACCCCTGGTAACCTACAAAGAACAATCTTTTCTGTGTGTAAACCTTTTCTTAACTTTTTACAGTAGTGGTCTCATACAATAATTGTCCCTTTGTGATTGACTAAATTCACTTAGGATAATGTCCTCTAGGTTCATCTATGTTATGAAGTGTTTTGCAGATTCATCGTTACTCTTTAACGTTGCATAGTATTCCATTGAGTATATGTACCATAGTTTGTGTATTTATTCATCTGTTGATGGGCACTGAAGTGGCTATTGTGATTAATGCTGCAGTGAATATGGGTGTGCATCTATCTGTTTGTGTCATGGCTCTTATTTCTCTACCTGTATGCCTACTAGTGGGATTGCTGAATCATACGATATTTCTATTTCCAGCTTCTTAAAGGAATCATTGTACTGCTTTCCACAGTGGTTTTACCATTTTATAATCCCATCAGCAGTATATGAGTGCTCCCATCTCTTCAGCTTCTCACCAGCATTTGTTGTTTTATGTTTATTTTAATTTTGCTATTAATGCTAGGGTAAGATGATATCTCATGTTTTGATTTGCATCTCTCTAATGGCTAATGATCATGAGCATTTCTTCATGTGTTTGTTAGCCACCTGAGTGTCTTCTTTGGTGAAGTGTCTGTTCATGTCCTCAGCCCATTTTTTTAAAATTGGATTGCTTGTCTTTTTTTTTGTTGTTGTTGTTGAGGCATTGAAGTTTTCTATAAATTTTGGAGATTAGTCCCTTATCTGATATACTCACTGCCGTCAAGTCGGATCCAACTCATAGCGACCTCTCCTTGGGTTTCTGAGGCAGTATCACTATGGAAGTAGATTGCCCAATCTTCCTTCCAAGGAATGGCTGGCAGGTTTGAACTGCCAGCCTTCTGGTTAGCAGTCAAATGCCTTACGCACTATGCCATGAGAGCTCCTTTGTCTGATATATTATTGCCAATTTTTTCCCCCAGTTTGTAGGTTTTCTTTTTAGTCTTTTGACAAAGTCATATGCTGCACATGAAGGTTTAAATTTTAGGAGGCCCCAGTCGTCTAGTTTGTCTTCTTCTGCTTGTGAGTTTTTAGTTAGGTTTCATAGTGCATTTATGCCATGTGTTAGGGCCCCTAAGTTTGCCAGAGTTTTTCTTTGATGAACTTTATGGTGTGGGGTTTTACATTTAGGTCTTTGATCCAACTAAAGTTAGTTCTTAACTAACTTTATTTTTAGAAATAATGCGGGAGATTACATGATAGAATTTTGCGAGACCAATGACTTATCCTTGCAGATACCTTTTTTCAACAACATAAATGGTGGCTGTACACATGGACTTTGCCAGATGGAGTACACAGGAATCAGATCGACTACATCTGTGGAAAGAAGCGATAGAGAAGCTCAGTATCTTCAGCAAAAACAAGGCCAGGAGCTGACTGTGGAACAGACCATCAACTGCTCATATGCAAGTTCAAGTTGGACCTGAAAACAATTAAAACAAGTCCACAAGAGCCCAAATATGACCTTGATTATATCCCTCCTGAATTTAGAGACTATCTAAAGAATAGATTTGATGCATTGAACACCAGTGACTGAAAACCACTGAATTTTGAATGGTGTGACATCAAGAACATCATCCATGAAGAAAGCAAAAGGTCATTAAAAAGGAAAGGAAGAAAAGACCAAAATGGATGTCAGAAGAGACTCTGAAACTTGCCCTTGAACAAGGAGTAGCTAAAGCAAATGCAAGAAATGACAAGATGAAAGAGCTGAACAGAAAATTTCAAAGAGCAGCTTGAGAAGACAGAGTCAATTATTATAATGAAATGTACAAAGACCTGGAGTTAGAAAACTAAAAGGGAAGAACATGCTTGGCCTTTCTCAAGCTGAAAGAATGGAAGATTTCAAGCCTCGAGTTGCAATATTGAAAGATTTTATGGGCAAAATATTGAATGATTCAGGAAATATCGGAAGAAGATGGAAGGAATACACAAAGTCACTGTACCAGAAAGCATTGGTCAAGGTTCATCCATTTCAAGAGGTAGCATATGATCAAGAACCAATGGTATTGAAGGAAGAAACTGAAGCTGCACTAGAGAAATTGGTGAAGAACAAGGCTCCAGGAATTGACGAATACTCATTGAGATGTTTCAACAAACGGATGCCACATTGGAGGCACCCACTCATCTATGCCAAGAAATTTGGAAGACAGCTACCTGACCAACTGACTAGTAGAGATCCATATTTGTACCCATTCCAAAGAAAGGTGATCCCACAGAATGTGGAAATTATCAAACAATATCATTAATATCAAACGCAAGTAAAATCTTGCTGCAGATAATTCAAAAATGGTTGGAGCAGTATATTGACAGAGAGCATCCAGAAATGCAAGCTGGATTCAGAAGAGGATGTGGAACAAAGGATACCATTGCTGATGTCAGATGGATCTTGGATGAAAGCAAAGAATACCAGAAAGATGTTTACTTGTGTTTTATCAACTATCTCAGGTATAGCAAGGACTGTGAGGCTGGCACAGGACCGGGCAGTGTTTTGTTCTATTGTACACGGGGTCGCTATGAGTGAGAGCCGACTCTACAACACCTAACAACAACAAAGTTAGTTTTTGTGTATGGTGTGAGATATGAATCCTGTTTGATTTTTGTGCAAATAGATATCCAGTTTTGCCAGCACCATTCGTTGAGCTATCTCTTCCGCATTTAATGGGTTTCAGTTCTTTGTCAAAGATCAGCTGTTCATAGGTGGGTAGCCTTGCTTCTGGGTCTTAATTTTGTCCCATTGGTCTATGTGCCTATTATTGTACCAATATTGACAAACCCTGGTGTTTTTTTATTTTGAGTTATATTCTACATTTTTCTCGTACTCTACCTGGGATGGGAGCTCTGGTGGCATAGTGCCTAAGGCATTTGACTGCTAACCAGAAGGCTGGTGGTTCAAATCCACCAGCCACTCCTTGGAAAGAAGGTTGGTCAATCTGTTTCCATAATGATACCACCTCGGAAACCCAAGGAGGGATCTCTGTGAGTTGGAACCAACTCATTGGCAATGAGTTTGAGTTTGAGTTCTACCTAGGAACTCCTGTTGTCACCCTTTCAGAGCAATCAGCAGTGGTAGCTGTGCACCATGTAGTTCTTCTGGTCTCAGAGTCATATAGACTCGGGCTCACATGGTTTGTTAGTCATTTGGACTAATTGTTTCCTTGCACCTTTGCTCTCCTCCACTCTTTCTTTACTCTGGATGGGGAGAGGCCAATAGCTGCTCCTTAGATGACTGCTCACAACTTTTCAGACCCTGGTTGCTACTCAGCAAAGTAAGATGTAGAAAACTGTCTTTGTGGACTTACCCTTCCCGCCACTGCCTTTGAGTTGATTCCAGCTCATAACGACCCTACAGGACAGGGCAGAACAGGTCCCATAGGGTTTCCAAGGCTCTAAATCTTTCTAGGAGACTGCCTCATCTTTCTCCCACAGAGTGGCTGGTGGGTCTCAAATACTGACTTTTTGGTTAGCAGCCCAGTGCTTTAACCACAGCACCGCCAGAGCGCCTTCTTTGTGGGCTACATTATGCCAGTTGACCTTAGCGTTCCCTGAGACTATGGTCCAGGCCCCCATGCCCAGCAGCTCATTCCCTCAAGGTGTTGGATTATGACTCAGAAGTTTGCACAGCTTTGCCCCTTTTATGTTCTACTACATTCATGGAAATATTTGTAGCACATATAAATATATAGGTAGAAATATCTCTGTAAAATCCATATGTATTTGTGAGTGTAGTCCCACTTACCTTCCCACCCCTGTTCAGCTTGAGCGTCTAACTATGTATGCACTTGTAATTAAGTCATTTCTTAAGAGGAGAAAAAAGTTAAATATATCTCCCTTGTTTTCTGACAGTAGACCAAAATGTGGAGTACCCGAGTTCCTCTGCAGCAGAATCCACCCTGTGCCAGGACACCCAGTAACGGTCTCTATCCCGGATGATGTGGCTGGCATGGGCGTGTTGGGGGAGCTGGTACTGACACCAGCTGCTGCTCTGTGCCCTTGCCCGAAGGCCTTTTCCAACCAGGAGAACAGGATTTCGTCAGTTTCCATATCCTTTTGATGACAGAGTCTATCTGGTTGTCTTTAAAATGGGTTTCTGGATCCAAATTCCAAGACTGTCAGCTGTCTAGAGGCAAGTCGCGTGGGACCCCGTAGATTTTCCACTGGTTTCCCTCGGGATCCGGGCTGTGACCCTCTGCCGGTCCGGGCTGTTCTTTGTGCTGGGGAAGGCATGCAGCGCTCTCTGTCCCTCCAAAGTGTGAGGAAGCCAGACACATAGATTTTATTTTTATCACATTTGAGAGAACACATTTCTAGCAGTATTTATAACAGGGTAAAAGGAAACTCAGAGAAAGTGGATCATAACAGTTTCTTGTGGGAACAGTGGCATCAGAGCTCACATTTTCCATTTCCCTTCAGCCACCCTTCTGCTGACTCTCACTGTCAGCGTCTCAGGGTTGTTGGACCCTTAGCGCTCACGCATGTGGAGGCTCATTCACTAAGGTAGTGAGACTGCTGAGTTACAGCTCATCAGGTAGGTGCCTTAGTTCTTTAAAATATGTGGGAAAATTCCTTTAAATTTTAGGTTTATCAGAATTAATTGGTTTATCATTCAGACACTGTTGATTCAGGTCATGGATCGTACTAGCCTAAGAAAGTTAGTTCTTTTGAGGGACTAAACGTTCCCAGGACGAGCACAATCAGCACTTCACCTGGCAGGCCCAGGAAGGAGCTCGACTTGAAATCAGCGGACTTGCTGTTTGACTTTGAACTCATCACTTAACTTCTCTGGGCCCCAGCTTTAGGTCTAAAAACTCCATGTTTCTGACTTTGAATTATTTAAATTGTTATTTTAATAAATGTTTAACAGACGTTTTACAAACGTAGTATGTATAACACTTTGTTAGGTGCTGAGGCAGGTTGTGTCTTAGAAAGCTCGTAGACTAATAGAAGAAACACCCGTGTACTCAAATAACTGCAACCAGAGGCGTGGGTGGAAGTGCTGCAAGAGGTTGTTGTTGTTGTTGTTATGTGCCGTCGAGTCAAACCCGACTCATAGCGACCCCTCCTTGGGTTTCCGAGGCAGTATCACTAGGGAAGTAGATTGCCCCATCTTCCTTCCCAGGAGTGGCTGGTGGGTTTGAACCGCCAGCCTTCTGGTTAGCAGTCAAGTGCCTTAGCCACTATGCTACCAAAGCTCCCACTGCGCTGCGAGAGGTAGAACACTTTAAAACCCGGAAGAGGGAGCAGTGATCCCAAGACTGTGTGACTGGGGGAGCACCTGGATGGTTAAATGATGGAGTTAGCATTTTCGGTGGATCTTGAGAATAACTAGGATTTTGAAAGGAGGAGGACGAAATGTCCTCCATTGTTACGATAGTGTGGAGCTGGGGTGTAAATGAAGTGATGGGAGAGCAAAGG